CAAAGTAATGGATGGATGATCTAGTCATTTTAGTCCCATTATTACAAACAGTATAGCATATAATAATATCTGAGATATATAGTTTTCAAAGTAGTATAGAAGCCCCCCATATCCATGGGAAATACATTCTGAGACTTCCAGTGGGTGTCTGAAGCCAGAGATAGTATCAAACTCAACACATACTGTTTTCCCTACACATACACCTATGATGATAAATTTAAAGAACAAATTTTGTGACGGCAAAACTAGCACAGATTTTTTCCTTTCTCACAATTTCACCGAAAGATTCATTCTTACCTCCGATCTTAACAACCTCAGCGTACGATTTTTTTCCTTCTTTATTAAGAACATTCATTTCTTCACCAAAAGGAAGCACTTAATGCTTCTCTCTGGCATATCTGAATTGCTAGCATCACTATTCTTTTGCTCTTCAGAGCAATCAAGTAAAATAAAGGTTACTCAAACACAAACATGGCCGTGGCTCAACAGTCAATGTGACAACCCAGACAGCGCCCAAAGATGGTGTATATGGTATGGATAAGCTGGAAAAGACAAGATTGACTCAAGTTTTCAATTTTATATTTGCAGGCCAAGGTTGGCCACAGGTACCTAGAATTTTGGAACGATGGAAAAGGAAAGACAATTGTATGCATCTTCCCTGTCAAGAGTAAAAGGCAAAATAAATCTGTGCTTACAACCAGACTTCTGAAATATAAATCTTTTTTTTTTGGTATCGGGATCAAACTCAGGTCCTTGCACTTGTGAGGCAGGTGGTGGAACCACAAGCTAAATCCCTGGCCCTGAAATATAAAATCTTTTCATTAGAATAACTATTTTTATGTGGATCAACACTTCCACAAAGAAAGACAACCATCCACCGAGCTCCCTGAGCAGCCTACGGAACCTTCCTAGATTTCTAGATTTGCAGTGCTCCTTAGTTCCTTTCCAAAGCCCAGAAACAGTGCTCATGCGGCTCGCCCTTGGCCATTCCACTTGAACCCTTGTTCTTCCCTGGGACCTTATCTTCCCTGGGGACTGCTACATCGACTCTCCTGTGTTTTTTCTAGAGTTCCTTCACTTCAGCCTAACCCCAAGCTTCAGAGTTGTTCCAGTAACCCAGTTCTTCAAGGTCCCTGCAGCCTGGTGGCTACTGTTTCCCACAGTCCTCTGCTCTGCTTACCACTCTCACACACCCACTCATGATCAGACCACCCCTGAGTGGCTGCCACCCCCATTCTCCCCAACTGACAATCTATCTGAGGCACTCATGTCACACTGTTCGGGAAAAAGACTACACAGAAATGTTCACATTGGAATGAAGAGACAGAGAATAAGACATATTTATTTAAAAGGTACTTTCAAAGCCCAGAGGCATGGTGGCCCACCCATGTAATCCCAGCTCCCTGGAAGGCTGAGGCAGGAAGATCATAAGTTCAAACCCAGCCTGGGTAACTAATGAAGACCCTGCTTCAAAAAAACAAAAACACAAACAAAAAAACCCCACTTAAATTAAAAAGGGCTGGAGATGTAGCCCAGTGTAGAGGCCCTTAGCTCAATGTGCGAAAACAAAAGTACTTTCAAGCCTTCAAGCCAGGTGCAGTGGCATGCACCTGTAATCCCAGCACCCTGGGAGGCTGAGGCAGGAGGACTACAAGTTCAAGTCCCCGCCTACTATAAAAGTGATAGTATACTGTAATAATTTATAGATAAGATCTGCCTGAGCTTTCACCCTAAGACCTTTAAGATGTATAACACTTTACTCAGGAAGCCACATCGTAGAGTTTTCTCAGTGTTTGACATTCTACTTTATGAGTGTTCTGTAGGTAGTAAAGAAAACAGATATAAGCCAAGGAAAATTTCACTTTCTAGACTCAGAAACTTGACTTTCCAAAACTTAGAAACTGAGCTCCTGTGGATGAGAATGTTCAGTTGGAAGAGGGGTTTTTTATCTCCAAATCTGATAAAGCTAAGCATGCTTTTTAGAGCACTTGGTTCTGCTGTTCTGCAGAGTGGTCAGTTTGTGGTTCCTCTGGGAACAAAAAGGTCCTCTAGATGCCATCTCCACCCCCCAACACCCCTCACCACCATGCTTGCCTCAGCCAACTTCCAGTTTGTTGAAAAACCAGGTTGTAGCTGAATGGTTTCCGATGCCTGCTGTCCCACTGTCTTCTCAGAAATGTAAAGCTTTAATTCAGGAGCTGTCAATCATTATGGAAGGGTTTAAGTTGGGTGGCTTTTGTGAGCTAATAAAGTGGACCACATTCTGATACAGAAAGCCCCTTGGTCTAGATATATTTTTATTGAATCAAAAAACATAGGGCCAGAGATTTAGTTCAGTGGTTCCTCCGCCTGCCTCACAAGCGCAAGGTCCCGAGTTTGATCCCCAATACCAAAAAAACCACACCAAACCAAAACAAAAAAACCCATATGAGATGCTTGCCTTTGGTTCTAATGAATTAACAATTAACAATTTGGGGCTTTCTTCTACATGAGGAAGGGTCTCTATGCCTGAATAATCACTGTGTACCCCTCACTGTAAGAAGGAGATATCATTACTTCCAGGGGCCTGGTCCCAAAGACTTTTCAAGAAGTTGTCTTGATTGAGGCCTTTGAAACAAACACAATATTCTGCAAGGAATCTAGTATTGCAACTTTGGTAAGTTAAATTTCTGGCACTGTCATGGAGCCTCACGAACAGGAAGGCTATGAGTAAATCATGCACTGGAGTTCTGTCTCATCTGCTTGGGCTCAAGCAAAATGTCAAGGAGCTAAGAGATGGTACAAAAGCAATACACACTCAGCGAACAACTTCAAATTTTGAATCTGGACCTCTTCCTAGACTAGTGCAATGCAGTAGATACTCTCATGATGCTGCCAGAGAGTGCAGCCCCCAACCCCCAGTAACAAAGGGAAACAAGTAATGCTCCAGTGTCCTGAACTGCCAAGCCAGGTGTTGGGGAGGTTTCATGTGCTCAATATACAGATATAGTCGATGCATTCCTGACTTACGTTTTCAATTTATGGAAGCTTTTTCAATTTATGAAGCTTTTTTCGATTTATGGAACCCTTAACAGATTCATCTTTCAGTTTGGTGTAATTTGCATCTCAGTCAGAAGACATGTACCCTGTAAGAGTAGCTGAGACATATTTACAGAGAGTCCTTGAACACCCCTTGATACCCCTGTGGCGAGTGGGCTTTTTGTTTTGGTTTAATTTTGAGCAATGTGTAAAAGTTTATTTGAGGTCTGACAAAAGGATAATATGAATACTCTTTCTCCCCAAGTACTGTATATAAAGGGCTTTACCTAAAAGAGTCCAGATATTTCCTCAGTAAAATGCAGTCATGACTGATTCTCTTCCAGGGAGTAAGACAAGTGTCACCTGCGTTTACGTAATGGCCCAGACACTGTGGCTGTTCACTACCCTGAGTGAGAATTCTGTTAACTGGAGGGCCAGAGTGTATATGGCTGTTTCTATCCTCCTGAACCCTCTGAAAGGGAAAAGTCAGGTAGTGCCAATTCCTCCATACCTGCCAATTCCAGTTCCAGGAGTTCTGCTACTAGGATATGAATGGTCTTGTCCATCCCCTTTCATAGCAGGAAAATAAACTTGGCTTGTCCGAAGAAGGGCTTGTAGGTGTTACAAGTAATCATCTAAAGCCTGCCTAGGAGAATTTCCAAAGTGGAAAATAGCTGCCCAAAGGCTGGCTAAGAAAGTGAGGGGAGAGGGGACATACCTGTGGTGATTTCACTCAGAGCCCCCACTTGGGCTGGGAAGAGGCACAAGAGTCCGCTTAATCCAGGCAATTTATTCCTAATAAAGGTGGCTCAAGGGAGCTGCTCCCTCCTCTGATGAGAACTAGGTCAGAGGCACAACTGTGATGGGGGAGGGGAACAGGTCTTCCCAACCGAGGCAGGGACCTCCTCCTCCTGGGCAGGAAGGGACAGGGTACAGCCCTCCCAGACACCAGCCAGGAGCCACCCAAGAAGCCACAGTTGGGGAGGGGGCCACTCCTAGCTAGAGCCCACTGAGCCTAAACCCCCAAACTTTTCCCATTTCAGCCTGGGAATGTAGTCAGCTGCTTGTGCCCCTGTGCCTGGTAGCCTGGGATACTGCTATGGCAGACTGGTCCATGGGGCAACTCAAAACTGTTCTCTAGAGAATAAGATAGAACTAGGCTGTTGAAGATGAACAATTTCCTGGGTCAAAGAAAAAAAATATACAGGGAAATAAATATGAACCCTTAAAGCTCCTCTACTTCTTCAGGGTAAAGAGCAATGAACAGCAGGCTTCTGAGCTAATAAGGGTATGTTGGACAAAGGCTGGGTCACACTTAATAATTTGTTCAGAGGCAAGGCCTTCATGCGCTGACAACCTCTCCCTTGCCATTTCCAGCTGCTAACTACCTCAGGGGCTTTGGCCCACTGAGTTTGCTGCAGCACGAGAGGGGCTACTGCTCTGTGTATCTCTGCACGGCTGACAAGATGGGCCACCGCAGTGAAGGGAGGAGAGAAGCTACCTGCCCTTCTATGTACCAAGAATAAAGGAGGATGACCTGTTGGATGAGGACTCATCAGGATTAGGGGCCAAAGGAGGACCACACAGCTGAAGGTAGCTTCCAAAGGAGTGTATGCTTTACAGGGCACACCCACTCATTTTGCCTTTGTTTTATTTATTTATTTTTTGAAATTCTTTTATTGGTACATTGTAGGTATACAACACATTTACATTTCTCATTGGGAACTTGTACCTTTACATGATGCATCTTGGTTCTTATTTTTTCCCCATTCCTAGCCCTCCCTTCATCCCCTCCACCTTTCCCTATTTACAAAGACTTCATTTCCATTTTTTCCTTGCCTTTGTTTTAGTACTCATGAGATTCCCCTAAGACCAAAGTTGTCACTCAGCAAGGAATGCCACAGTTCTTTTAGGAACCATCTTTGCTATCATATCTCTGGATGGTTAAAAAAATCATTTGCTCAACAGTTCCCTTCTCTTCATTTGTATGATCACCATCTCACTCTAAAACCCAGCCTTCTCTCACATGCACTAATAGAACAGCCTCATAGCCATTTTCAAGGTTTCTTTTAATCTTAGCACTCAGAGGCTATAGTAGGAGGATCAAAAGTTTGATCCCAGCCTGGGCTATTTGGCGACTTATCTGACTCAAAAAATGGGCTAGAGATTTAACTCAGTGTGAAGGCCCTGCGTTCAGTCAGTCCCAGGTACTTAAAAGGTGGTGCTGGGGATCCAACGAAGAGTCTCACACATGCCAGACAAGGGCTCTACCACAGAGCTACAATCCCAGGCCCAGGCCATGGATATTTAACACTCAGTTTCGATGCAGCAGAAATTATACTTATCACTGAAAACAGAAGTTGTACAAAGTATATCAAATCATAAGCATGCAAAAAATAAAATAACATTTTGTGGTATTTTCTTGCTTACTGAGTTTCAGATAGGAACTAAAGATACTCTAGATCTAAATTAGTTACCTGCAGGAAACAGCTATGGCAACTAGAAAGTTCCTAGGACCCTGTCTCAAAAAGGGAAATAAGACTTTACTCTTGGGTGTACTCTTTCCACAATGCTAGTTAGAGCTACTGAGTGATTACGTGGTGCCAAGAACTCTACTTAGGTGTTATGCATGCATTACCCCACTTGATTCTCACCCTAGCCAACAAGGTAGATGGTATTTTACAGACCAGGAAACAGTGCTGACAAAGAGTAAATGAGGCTAAATCAAATAGTCAATAAATCAGTATCTGCCTGACTCTAAAGCTGGTACCCTCCATCACTACCCTGTAAATTGCCCTTTATACACAAACAGATGGGATATATTATGGGATACAATATATGGACTGCATTATTGAAGCAATAACTAGACAATTCCAAACAGAATTAAAGAAAGGAAGCAAAATATTTACAATTATGTAAGAGATTTAAGACTTCAAAGCAGCAGAATAAAAGTGACCAACTTCAGAATCCAAAGTCTCCAGTTTTCAACTTCCTTGCCACACCTCTCAACTGGTACTCTGAGGACCGACCTCTGAATCCTTCAGTTTTGCAAAGAGAAATAAAGAAAGGTAATTTTGTGTACATATGACTGTGTGGTTAGCTGCATGGCATATACACCAGCTGGATTCCCCCGGATAGTTATTCGTGATTCAGATTTCTGACTTACTGAAATTGATCCATTTCCCCATTACCTACAATTACCTATATGTTTAGCATATAACAGGTACCCAACAAATCCTCTGAATGACTGACAGACTAATGATCTCAAATCCCATGGCTATGCAAAACAAAACAAAACAGTGGTGGGAAGACAAGATTTTTTTCTTCTCTACTTCTGCTAATTTTGAACTAGTGACTTTAAAAGATGCTATGTTTTTCCTTCTTCACAATATCAGTATTTATTAAATACAGTGTCGGTTATTATACCCCTTACAAAGGCTTGTAAGGTAGACTACCAAGCAGGATTAATACCTCAATGACTAAGGAATTAAGGCCCTGGGATTTCGAGCACTGACGAGTGTTTTCACTATTTGACTTTTCAAGGCAAAACACCAGCTCACAGGCAATAAGAAGAAGCTCCCTACTAATGAGCAAGAAATACTATTGTTGGTTTAAACCTCAAAATGTTATAAGACTCCCATTTTTAAAATATATAACAGCATAAACTTTCTCTCTCTCTCTCTTTTTTTTTTGGTACCCAGGATCGAACTCAGGACCTTGCACTTGTGAGGCTGGCACCAGAACCACTGAGCTAAATCCCCGGCCCCTAAACTTTCTCTTTTATGCTGTTTATTTCTTTTGCCTCTCTTTATCTAATGACCTTCCTGCACAATATGTGGTACTATCAGGGAAAAAAGAGCCTATGAAAATGAAAGGAATCAGTTAATATCATTTTGAGAAATGAAGAGAAACAATGTATTAGAAATACATATTAATCAAAAATGTACGTTCTTGGGCCGGGGATTTAGCTCAGTGGTTCCAGAGCCTGCCACAAAAGCCAAGGTCCTGAGTTCGATCCCTGGTACCAAAAAAACAAACAAATAAAAATGTATGTTCTTTGTTGTTCTGTGAGAATTAGGTTTGGTTTAAAAAACAAAATAATTAATATACAGTTTGGGCTACTTCTGCATTAATTATGACTTCCAGGGAACAAGGAAGAAGCCTACAGAGACTATTTAGAAGCAAGTTCTGTCTTCACATCCACTAAGATGTTATCATAAAAGAGACAGACAATAACAAGTGCTGGTGAGGATGTGGAGGAAGAGTCACTCATACATTGTTGGGTGAGGATGGAAAATGGAACAGCTGCTTTGGAAAACAGTCTGGCATTCCTTAAAAAGTTATGGATAGAGATAACAGTGATCCCAGAATCCCATTCCTAGGTATCACCCAGGAAGAATGAAAACATGTGTCCACACAAAACTTGTATTGATTCACAGCAGTATTATTCAAATCAGACAAAAAAAGGATGAAAACAACCCAAATGGCCATCAATTTAAGAATAAATATACAAAATGTGGCACATCCATACAATGATACTATTCACATTCATGTTTTTATGGTATTCACCTATAAAAGAGTATGAAGGACTGACATGTGTTACAACACGGACAAACCTTTGAAAATGGTATTCTAGGGCCGGGGATTTAGCTCAGTGGTTTCATCGCCTGCTGCGCAAGCACAAGGACCCAAGTTCGATCCCCAGTACCAAAAAAAAGAAAAAGAAAAAGAAAATGGTATTCTAAGTAAAAGTCACTCAAAACAGATATTGTAGGATTCCAGGTCTCTGAAATGTATAGAATGAGCAGATACACATACCAAAAAAAAATAGTGGCTTCCAGACACAGAAAATGGGGTGTGACTGGTATGGGGTATGGAATTTTTTGAAATGATAAAAATGCTCTAAAATTGACTATGGTGGTGGTTTCACAGCTCTGGGAATAGACTAAAAACTACTGATTTGCACACTTCTCAATAAAACTGTTTTTAAAAAGTCCATGAAACAGCTACGTGAAACTTCTCTACAGGTCAGGCACATAGGTAAAAGGTAAAAGTGGTCACACAAGAGAAAAAAATAGTAAACATGCAAAATACCTGCAAGAATGGCAACAAAACAGGGCTACAATAAATTTAAGAAAATTGCTTCTGAGGGCTAATACTTAGAATACATACTTAAAGCAGGATGTAAGGCAAAAGTAACTACTGGGGTTGGAGATGTAGCTCAGTGGCAGGGAACATGATTAGCATACGCAAGGCCCTGGCTTCCATCCCCAGTGCCACAAACAAATAACAAAAAACCCATTATTTTACACTCATAAAGGAAAAACATAAGCCTTTAACTTGGAATTTCACTTAAAAGTCAAATTAACTTATCTGCATTTGAAAATGAAGAAAAGAGGCTTAATTTATAATAGTTTTGACCTGCTCTTGACAAATATTTATTAAATATTTATTAAAATGCTTAAACTTGAAATAATACTATAGGCACTAGGAAGAAAACAAATAAGAGCAATTCAATTCTATACCTTCTGTTCAATAAAACTAGCATCTCCATGGCAGGTGGTACAGAGAACTCTACCCAGGGGGTTAATCAAAATTCCCTTAGAATAATTGAAAAGCATCTGCATTTTTCCCCCAGAAACCACAAAAAAGTCACAGTAAGCAGAACATATAGTCTTGATTATCAGCACTGAGCCTGTAGCAGCACAATGTGTTGTCTTCAGAAATTAAGTTACAGGACATGATGTCACTGTGCAATAAGTCAGTGCTGTCTCCCCTAATGAGATGGAAAAGCTCAAGAATATCAAAAGAGACGATGATAATAAGTTGCACGTGTGATGTTCGCTATTGTCACAAGCAAACCACAGATTGTGTGGAATGCAGTCTCTCTCAGGCAGGATGGTGCTGGGGGGACCTCAGAGGTCACTAACCTCAACCTTTCATTTTACAACAAAGAACACTGAGGTTCAGGAAGGTCACACAACCAGTTTAAGGCATTACAGGACTTGAAATGAGCTCTTCAGGGGCCCTTCATGAGACTTTCCTTGCTCTGAGTCCAGGCACCTCGAGGGTCTACCTGGAAATGGGAAATGAGGAGCTCATGGGAACTAAGCTGGCAACACTCTGCATACACAAGCTGTGTAAGTCGTCTGTGAAGGTGCAGGGCCACGGGGCTGGGGAACATTCAGAATCCCAGCTGCAGTGACCTGAGCATCAGCCTAGAGAGGGCAGAACAAAGCTATGTACCATTTGGGTCTGCAGCTTCGGGTTAGGTTGCTGAAGTCTCATCAACTGCAAGAGTCCTTTGTGAGAAGAAGATGAAAAGCAATGCAAAGGCACAGAGTAGACATGGGAGGGTCAGAAGGGATTTATCAGCTTCCTGCATGGCACAGGTACACTGCGTCAACCTTTGTTCCAAGCACCACATAAAGCAGACTTTAAGTACCACATAAAGCAGTTCTGAAATTCTGCTAATGAGCTTCCTCATTATTCTGATAAGCAGACTTAAAGATTTAGGCACAAATTAATAATTGCACATTCTGGTTTAGGCACCAGTCTGTGTGAGATTAGTTACCATAGGTCATTTCCTTAGATCTGATTACTTCTGGGTTCCCTGTGTATAATTTATGTTGTTTTAATTTTCTGTGCCTTTTTTCCCCCTGGTACTGGGGATTGAACCCAGGGCTTTTGCACTCAGCTACATTCCCATGCCTTTTTGTATTTTGTAAAAGGGTCTTGCTATGTCACTATGTCACAGGCTGGGCTCAGATTTGTACTCTTTTTGCCTCAGCCTCCCTGAGTGCTGGGAATATAGAATTATAATACCACACCTATGTATCTTTCAGTTTAACATTTTTGGGGGACTCACAGATCCAGAGAGAGACTGTCTCCCCCCACCCCATGGGCCTGCATGTCATGGCAGGCCCCCTTCTCTCAGAAAAGGTAAGGAACAATTTCTTTAAGGGGATTCATCTCTATATTGGCCTCAGTCACCTTCATAAATCCAAATCCACAGGTACACTTCCCGATATCCTGCAAAGTTGACACAAGACTGCAGACTAGACAGTCCGGAATTGCGGCATGACAAGGGCCACACGCTCCTGCCTGGCACCTCTCTTGCCGCCTCACAAGCTGCCTGTACACTGCAAGAGCGGCTACTTGGCAAAGCCAGGATTCAGGGAAAGCTCTCCACGCTGAGCACCCACAGAGCACTCAGCACATGATCATGTTCATGCAGGCTTATCTTCAACAAATCAGTAAACTGATACAACTGTATTAAACTGATCTTTTACTCTCAGTAACGGGTATTAACAGAAATGACCCAATAAGAAAAGTCTACAGATGAGCAAGCTTGAACTATAAAAAGTGTCTTTGCGAAATGTAACCTAGATACAATCAAGAAAAAATGACGACCTTTGAATCCTAACTTCAGACAATAATAGAGACAAACCTCATGTACAGAAAGATATTTGTCATAATTCTGTGCAGATGTAAGGGTACACATAGACAGCCAATAATAAACATTAGGACAAAACAGTGAAACAATACATGTGACATCTATTTGTGGGGCCCAGTTCTTTTTCCCATCTGATCAAGGTGTTGGAAGTTCTTTCAGTTCATGAATTAAAGCCAGAGTGAGATAATCTAGAGACAATGTGGGAAGAATAGCTGTGAACTATTATCCAGGGGCCAATTAAGAGTAAGTTTTCAGACTCTTAGCTTCACGAAGGGTTGGGGATATACTCACAGATATTTCCATGTACATGACTTTGGTGGTTTGACCTACAATTTTTTTTAACTCTATGACGGTGTGAAAGCAATACACATCCAGTAGAAAAAGGACTTCAAATTTTCCATTTGGATCTTCTCCCCAGCTAGAGATATGCAGTATGATCATTTCTTTTTGTTTGGTACCGGGGATCAAACTCAGGTCCTTGCGCTTGCACAGCAGGTGGCGAAGCCACTGAGCTAAATCCCTGGCCCATGATCATTTCTTTTGATGCTGGGCAGTGGCTTTGAGGGCAGCTCCCAGTCAACC